AAAAAAGTTATAGTACTCAAAGCCACGCAAGGTCACGCAAGCATAGTTAATGAAAAAACAAAAAAACAAAAAACAAAACAAAAAAACAAAAAAAAAACAAAAAAACAAAGGCCGTTGGGTCAGGTTTCGCTGGTAAACAGAAACGAAGAAGAATTCAAAATCACAATTTGAGCTATGTTACGTTTTCGCTTTACTTAAAATAAATTCGTAGCCTTGATCGTGTTGTTTGATTTTATTTTTCCCTCTAGGGGTGCGGGAGGGGAAAACTATGCCTGCTACTACATGCTAACAAGCCCAGGTGAATTACCAGACCGAAGCTCAACACTAGATTTTACTAGCTTGAAGCCGTAGAGTAGGGAGGTATAACCTATAGCTATTGTTGCTAACCGATCTCCTGAATATTGGTAGGAGATAACCTTTTTGTCAAGGGTGTCACAGTTTTCTTTCATCACTGATTTGAACTAATTACTTTCAGGAAAGCCTGCGGTTCTGAAAGCTGTTCATGTAGCATAATATTTGCATATATCAATTACATTTTTTAAATTCTAAGAGTTTGCAAGGAATTTATAATTTAGAACTGACACTTTCTGCCGGAAATAATCTTGCAATAATGAAATAAAGTTCGCGCAGCAATACCTGGTGTTGCTTTCTAACGTTTACGCTTTGTTTAGTAGAAATTTGATTGATTTATGGACAATATATCCAAACGTGTATTACATAAGAGAAAGGTTGGCAACAGCACGAGGCTTCAGCGTTCGACTCACCTCGTAAATTGCTCAAATCTTAAGCAACAACACGGCTTCTACTGCCATTCTTCTCCGTCGTCCTTATAGTGCAAGAAATTATTATATATAATTATTATATCTTTTTAAGGTTTTTTACCCCGCACCCCACCCTGCTTTTTATTATTATTTTTTTTAATTTAATGTCTTGTTGTGATGGGAGCATGCCTCCCCTTGCAAGATCCCCATAATGTAGATGTAGAGATCAGCAACGTTTCTGTAAGATAAATATGCACCTAGCTTGCTTCTGTAAGGAATTAGCAGCTCCACAAAATCAAACATCAATTTGAAATTATAGACCACTTTCATAAATGGCGGCCAATTATAAATTCTTTTGCAAGTATTCAAATTAGCCTTACTAACCTCATTGTGAATTGAAGTTGGTAATTCAAAAGAATTTTTACTCCGAAACGAGGTTAGTAAGGCCAATTTTATTCAACAGGGAAGGGCAGGCTATTTTTGTACGGGGCATTTGGCTACACCAACCATTCCACGGGGAAAAAAATATCCCGCTCCTTTGTCTCTAAATACACACGCATATGAAAAAACGAACGCTCGAAAAAATATGTCGATAAGACGATAGCACAGGAATCAAACAACAGTCGAAGAATTGAACAAATTGAAAAAATGTGAATAGACCAATTTCGAAGTATTAACATTTTAAGGGTCCATTAAAGTATCTCGTTGCTAAGCTACACGGTTGCTACCCAAGTGCAATTGCACTTCCGGTCAGCCAAAATTTTTTCGCGCGCTTTTTTCGGTCCCGGCCCGTCGCCGATTCAAGACGCCGCTAGCCTTTTTTTACTTCGTTGCAACAAACACAAGAAAAACGTTTTGTTTATATTTTTATTGATTAATTTTCTGCTTTACGGTTACAACATGTGAGTCGTGCCTTTATTTTTGAAACTTGAGTGTTTTGCTTGAAAATGTCATCCACGTACGGACGTGAACAGAAAGCCGCAGCGATGGCTGCATGCCAATGGGGAAATCTCTGGGAGATAATATCAATGTGGTATGTTAGTGATTTTCAGCTCGAAAAACGTTAAACGAGGCCACAAAATCAAGCTAACATATTTATATGCTTGCTGGATCATGCATATTGGGCAGAAAAACATTTAATATTGAGGAGGTCTGGAACCCAGTTTGTTGCCATGGTGACAAAACTGTTAAGCTCGTATTGTGGAGCACATTTAGTAGAATCTTACTGCTAAGAATCAAACATTTCTGATACAAATTGGCTGAGACATCTTTTTTCGTCTTTTTTGATCAAAATTGGTGTTGACGTCATCACTTGGCCAATTTGCATATTTTAAAAATTTGCATATATTCTGAACGAAAAGAGAGAGTTGAAAATAGTAAACAGCATTTTTCTTCTCACGCAGAGTGCTTGTTTATGTTTAAAAATGGCTTAGATAGGAAAGATGCTGCTATTTTCCTCATAGTACCACTTTAAGCCTAGACTCGAAAACTGAAGCCAAACAGTATAAGTCTGTGATCAACTGACAGAATCCGAAAAAAAGCATTTCCCAGCGAAATTCACCTCCATTTCGGTGTTTCCCCCGCGAGGCTTTACTTTTGCACGTGTTTGGTCAAAATTGCTCACATTACATCCATCCCAACTTTGTCTCGCATGACATCGTTAGCAGACCATTTGGCAAGTTACCCAAACTCGTGATCCCAATATCACGTAATCAGCTGAAGCAGTTTGTATTCCAATACCGTTGTGGAATTACGGATTGATATCGCCGAAATCATGGCTATCCAAAAACAAAGTATGCCTTCCTTTGCTTCTATTATTACTGATATCTCCATTGTGTTTTACTGCGCCGGCTTTTTACGAGTTGAGCTGGAACTACACGAGCACAACAAAAGAATAAACGCTCTTGAAAGCGTTGCCGAGGTCAAGTCGCCATCAAACGACGCAGACATGAAAATAATTAAGAATGCTCCTGGTAAGTGTGTCTTCTCCAACCTAGAGTTTAAAAGCTGTGCTGCATTCATGAAATACAATCATCAGAATCATTTTTTGCCCCCTCCCTCCCCCCTCAAAAAGAAAATGCTGTTAGAAGAGAGCAACAGTTAAAACAAAGAACAAATGAACGTGTTATTGTTTGCTCTGTTAAGTTGTGATGTGACGACGCAAGGAAAGCAGAGAGTTACCAGGTCAAGATTTCTTTAATCCTATGTTTACAAATTCATAAGAAAATACATTACAGAGGAAGTTTTGTCCAGCTGTGAATAACACGGTAATAAACTAGTTTCTTATCTTATTCGGTTTGATCAAGCTTCCAGTCTGTTTTTGATAGTCTCCGCATCAGGAAATAAACAATGGATATGTTGTTCACTGATGCCCAAATGACAACATTTCCGTTGTAGCGATGATCTCCTGAGGTTACTAAAGACAACTAAACGCTCGCTGCTCACGCAATGATGGCAGAACAGA